GAAAAGACGGAGGGCCCGAAAGCTAGGCTTTATTCATCCAAAACTTTGACAGTGAGAGCTGAAAACGGAAGAAAGTGATTTAGCAATAAATGATGAAACGTTTGAAAAACAGAGCAAATATACAACACCCCCCAGTATAGCTCAATGGGTCTCCGAGGTACACAAACCGTCACACCACGGTAAGGTCCAGTCTCTTCGTGACGGCCAAGCTACACTGTGGGTTGTTTTGTTGTATGACTGCGAGACTTGGCCTGTTCGAGCAGCGGAACTGAGATGTCTTCAGGTGTTGGTCAATCGTTGTCTCAGAACCACAGCTCGTGTGGTTTGTTCCCGGCGTATCCGTAACGAGGCAGCTAGAAAGCGAGTTTCCGGCTGTGCAACTGGGACTTCCATTGAAGAGTGTACCCAGCACCAGAAGCTGCTTTGGTTCGGACATGTGTTGCATGTTCGTAACCATCGGTTGCCGAAGAGAGTGCTGTTTTCTATGCCCAACTCAGAGTGGCAAAAGCAGAGATGTGGCCAGCTTATGGCTTGGCAGAGGTATATGGAAGTAATTATGAGAAGTTTGGTTGTTGTCGGTGCTACTTGCTTCCAGGATGGGGACTGTGTTATCCCCGCTGTGCCATGTCTGTACCACTTGATGTGTTGAACTGAGAAGAGAACTTCCCGTATACCTTCACACGGCTGCGGGAGTTGGCGTACAGCGCTTTGAGGACGGTCAAGAATTTATGGGGACACCTTTGCTCCACTGGCATTGCCATAGTGCCTGACGATTTACAGTCGAATGCAGCTTTTAGGTCAAGAAGCACAACCATTGTTGGTTGCTGGAAGCAGTGTCGCTGTTCCGGAATCTGTCGGAGGGTGAAGATATGATCGATGCAACCTCTTGGAGGACGGAACCCAGCTTGGCTTTCGCGGATCTGCCTCTGTCTGTGTTCAGTCAAACTTCGGAGGATAAGGCCAGAGAGCACCTTTGATGCCACGGTGCTTTTCACACAACGTCCACGTACCTTTTTTGTAGATAGGTTACTCTTCATTCCAAATAGCACCAATAATATTCGTCAGATGGGTCACCGGAGATTCTCCGCCTTCTTTTAATAGAGCTAGATACAGACCCTCCGGTTCTGATGCCTTCTCATGTTTCAGTACGGATATTTCGTACTTTGTTTCTTCTGACAGGCGATCAAGGTTTACATTCCATTTGCCCGTATGCAATATCTTCACCAGCCATGTTGCAGGAGGCCAGCTGAACTGTTCTTCGAAGTTCTCGGTCCATCAACGTTTTTGCGAGTGAATTAATGAGCCATCTTTTCCACTTATCGTTTCGCTGACCGTTTGTTTCCTAGGTCCAGTCGACCGTATCAGTTGATATAGGGCACGGCTGTTTCCGGTAACAAAGGCCTTCGCCATCGCCTGAGCTTTCGACGTCCACCAGATCTCTTGGTCTTTCCTTAGACTCTTCACTATTTGGCGTGCGCCGTCGAAGTCGTTGCCTGTTGGTATGGCCTTCCTGGCATCAGTTATGGATAGCGATCTCGACGACATCCAGCGGTCGTGTGGTCGATCCGGATAAGTCGGACAGACAGCACTAAAGGCCGCTAACATAGTCTCTTTCACATTTTGCCACGCTTTATTCGCATATGAGGGCCTGGATGGAAGCGGAATGTCGGGCGTGCACGCACCACGGTGTGATCGGAATTAAGTGGTGTACCCCAGAATGAACGGCAGTCTTGAATTGTGGCTCCACCGATGGCTGATGGCGACGTGTTCCAACTGGATCCACGGTTGATTTGCAGTCTGTGGCAGCAAGGTCACGCGATGCGAACGTTTATGTTGGAGCTTCGTACTTGCCAATAACAGTTGATGCTCAATACACTACTGAAGGATTCGATCTCCGTTATCTCTGCGGCGGGCATCGACTCCGAATCGACTGCCCAAATATGATTCCAAAGAGCTTAGACGACCGACTTGAGCATTCAAATCGCCTCCATGGATCACAATGTCAGTGCTTTTTGTTTGACGAATGAGGCTGGATAGCTCTCGATAGAAAGTACCCTCCGCATCATCAGAACTGAAGTCTGGGGCATAAGCCGACACTACAAACAGGCACTGCTTTTTATGCTGAGAGGCTTTGGGTTTAACTGACCTGGACGGCGCAAAGGCGACTGTTCACTGTCATTGTCATCAGAAACAGCAACCTATGTCTTGACACTGATGCTCTACTGCCGTGTTCACTGGGATTCAGTCCAGCAAAGTGCGTTCAGCTCTGGGGGCTGAGTGCAACTCCCACGAGTAATCGCTTCCGGGTCACCGGACACACGGAGGTAGAAATGTGAAAGAGTTTATCCTTGACGTTCTGAGATGCATAACGACGCCTGCGTGTTGTATGCGTGTTATGGGGCGCATCATACATCAATTTTGAGGGAGTATAAGGTTTCAACAAGCATTGCCTGCTTGCCGATTTGACATAGAGTACGGACGTTAAATGCTCGTATATAGAAAGTATTTCGTGGATTTAGAAGGGTCTTATTTTGTCTTTTGGCAATAAGTGGTGATGCGCATATGGCCCTTTGGTCAGAAAACTGACTACCCAGTGACGTTTGCTTATGTAGTGGGAAGGGTTAGGAAGGGACAACGGTGGTCACCGAACTGCCTGGACAGATGATACCTTCCGGTTGCCCAGGCCGAGGAGGAAGGTCTGGTTGAAACACCCCACCTGGAGCCTTTGACTCAAAAGTCTGACCCAAAGGACAGTGCGAGGATGTAAGGTTTTCGTTGAGAACCCTGTCCGGAGATGACGACTCGAAAGTCTGACCTGCTCGGCTGCAGGGGACTGGCCTAACTCGAGGGCGCAGGGACTAAGGTATTACTGCATTCCTGATGTGGCTGCGCACAGCAGGTGCCCTTTGAGCAGCACCGGACTCTTTGGTTTTAAAAGTATTTCGATCGTATTGAATAATGCGCCGGTATCGGATAATGCGCCGGCGGTCACGGTCAACCGTTGGGCGATCGGAGTGTGCGGTTTTTTGGGCCGACCTTTTCTAACCCGTCCTTCCGCGGGGGGAAGGCAGCATCGCTGCTTCCATAAATATGGACAGGGTGGTCGCCTGGGGGAAACACCTTACTACCTTCACACTCCTGTCGCAGAGGACAGTACGATTTCATACCCAGACCGCCTCGTAGCACGATTACTCGCAGTACGGGGTCTCTTCTCTTGGCCTGACTGCTCCCCTTTGGCCTTCCTGGTTGCACCTTGTGAGACGAAGTTCCAGCCAGTGTAGCACGCGGTATCACTGCAGCAATCAAGCCCGACCACCACATGTAGGTGGCAGGTTTAGGTCGGGAAATGTCCACTCGACCGAGTTTACTGGTTGGTGCTTTTTTACGTTGTTACCAGGCCATATACCATCCGCCTCTCGGTCGTTTTTAATCGGAACAGGGTTGGGGAAAAAGAATATTGGGAGGTAGCGCTTTTTACGGAAGCTGTTTTTTTGTCGGGACATGATGGTCTGCACGCAACTGCAGAGCCAGATCCTCAATATTGTTGGCTCTGAATCTCTTACTCCTTGTGCTTTCCGTCATTCTCTGCAGACACTGGAACCACTAGTACTCTTGGCACAGATTATATAGCTAGTCAGCTGAACTAAACCGACTCTACCACCACCTCCCTCAAGGTATGCTTATCCCAGGCTTAGTTGTTCAACTTAGGTGTTTATATCGCCCGCCAGGACAGCATCCGATGGAAGCACTTGGTAGATCTCGACAGAGCCCATACCAAATTTAAAACTACTTTCTCCTGGGATGTACGCTGACGCGAAAGCTGAACCATCGTTTTGATGATTGAATACTGTCAGCGTACTCCATGTCTATGAGCGAACACCCCGTTGGTGTCTCGATTCCCGAAGTGTTAGAGTCAGGTAAAGGAGATTCAAGTACCATAAAGCTCATGAAGTTTTAGAGAAAAACCGATAGAAACCCCCTTGCCTGAAGCTACTGGATGTGGTAAACTCAGAAGACAAATTGCTGTCGGGTATGTCCCCTACAGGATAAGGACGCATTTAATAGTATAAATGTGGGCTGACGACAGCATTCTAAAGCGGAAATAGCGGCAAAATGGCTAAAAGCAAACGGTTGTGCACTGCGCCCAGAATCCGTGGTTGCGGACCCCAGACAAACGAGCTTTGCAGGACGCCATTTCTCTAGTCTCGTGCATTCTCTCGCGCACGTCTGGCACTCGATTCAATCATCATCTTCATCATAGCAGCAGCGGTAGCAGTTCTCAATTTTTTTGCGCGTTATTGATGATCCTGGCTGCCACAGTTTCATTTACAGGTGTATTTGAGTGTGGACGAAGCTAAGCGAAATAATAACAGACAAAAAATTACCATACAAGTGTGACACCGTTTCGCTACCTAACTACCATACCACCTGCAGAAAGCACGAGGTCGGAGGTACTGCTAGGTCGCCCAAACCTAGACGGAAGCAGTGGATATGCCGGGGTTTGGTTCGAAACACGGACCTTCAAATCAGTAGATGCGTGCTTCAACTAGTGTACCATCTGTCGAAAAAACCTTTGGGCACTGACCACGGAACTCAGTTGCCTTTTTAACATTCATCTTTCTGCATCTGGGCTCCGTGACACAACGCGTCATTATTTACCTGCTGCTAGACGTCCTAGTCGCATCGTCAATAGTGCATCTGCCTTCGGGTGCATTCATTTTCTAGTTGTCCTAATAAACGCATTGATGTTAGAAACAGAATTGTTCCATGACAGTAACTGTGAATATTACTTTGTTCCCCGGAACTGACGCAGCGGTAAGGAGCGCATATCTTCCTGGCCATCGTAAGTTGCGGAGAAAATCAATGGCGCGTTTCTCAGTAATTCAAGCTGATTTCCAGGAGTGCGATGATATTTTTGTTAAGCTAATTTGACCCACCATTCAGGTTTCCACTTCTCTGGTTATATTTTCGCAACTTTTAGCTTTTTCTGGCTCATAACGATGAAGAAGGGCGATATAAGTAAACTTCAACGTCTAATGGCTACCAAGCAGTCGAATCCAAAAAAGAAGAAGGATTTTCAGAAGCGCCCGAAACAACGAAAAAAGATCGAACAGCTTCACCCTCGAAAAGACCGGGATTACTTGGATGTCATGATCAAGAGTTCTATGTATGTGTCCGGTTTTCATGGCTGTCGAATCTGTTCCAGGTTTCGGTTTCTGAACGAGAAGCTGTACACTTGCACCAGTGATGAGGCGCTCAACTTGTTCAATACAGACAAACAAGCGTTCGATATTTACCACTCCGGTTTTCAACATCAGCTCTCACAATGGCCATACGATCCGCTACAGTGGGTTGTTGACTACCTTAAATCTTGCGAATTAAATACGGAAAGAAAAGTTCGTCTTGCTGACATGGGATGTGGTGATGCGCGCTTAGCTGGGCTCTTAGGAGAGCGGTTCAAAGTTTATTCGTTTGATCTGATCGCGGTTAATGATAGTGTAATCGCATGCGATATGGCTCATGTAAGTTTGCGCTCTATTTCTCTTCACTATTCGTTACTGTGCATGTTCGGTTGTGACCTTCATCCTGTACTTCACTAGGCTGCTTCACTGCTTGTGATCAGCTGGTTTTGGATGTGTGACCCACTGCCATTCTGTGTACGATCTCACATGGGAATCCTGGCGTTTTTATAAGACATATGTTTCTGGCGCAATGATGCTGGTTTGCCCACACGAACCACATGAGTTCCCATAAGTTGGTGGCTTTGCAATAATGTTTTACATTCTGCTGAGAGCACTAATCCCCTACAACTTTTATCAAACTCGCTTTGAATTTGAAACATTGTATTAATCTTCTTCTCTGGGGTTAGTGC